GCAAATCAATTCTATTCTGACATTTAACTTCGTTAAGAATTGGGAACAATCCAAAGTCAAGCCTTCGAATTTCGATAGGTTCAAAAGCGAGTATAATTTTAGATTGACCCGAGTAACGAAAATTGCAACGTTTGCGAGAAATCGAAAGGTCAGTGGCCGAGGTTTGCAGAGATCGGGCACGTGCACTCGCACGTGTCTCATTCGGCATCGGCACTGCTTTCATATGCATGCATCAAGCCGGAAAGAATAAACGCATCCGTGCATGCGTATCCGGCATATTGTTCGTAATCCAATTTGTCACGAGACCAAAGTTCCTCACTCAGGAATGAGCGTTGTTCGACGGATGAAACGCGTCTCTTCTTAGAAAGCCAAGGTCGTGTCGCCGCAATAGGTGTTCTTGCCTTTGAACACGGCAGCCTTCTTTTCATCTTCGAAAAACTTTCTCGCCCCACGACTCGCAACTTTTCTTTTCCCGTTCCACGATCCCCTTTTCAGACTTACAGGCTATTCTTTGGCAACGCTTTGCGTACAGTCCTCCTTTTATCATATACTTAACAGTCTTTCATTCAAAGCCACAGAAACGTTGATTAGGTATATGATTAAAGAAGTATTTTCGTATTAATATTCGTAATTAATATTTTAGAGTATTTTATGAATCTCCGATCACGAGTAGCGAGAAAATATGAAATCACAGAAGACGTAGAAACCAAAATTGAGATCCGATGGAGGAACAGGTCAGTAACGCGATTAGAGTAGCGAGAAATCGTACATCGATCGAATCGTAAGATACCCCATGAAAATTTGATCTCTGTGTTTTGTTCTGTCGTTCGTATCGAGCTACTCTCCGGATGGACAAACGTCAATAAAGTAGCGCACGCGCTGTACCAGCTAACCACGATGCGATGTTTCTTGAGCGCCGTTTTCCTTCACGTGCCATTTCTTTCCTCCTCAATTTATTTGTGCATGTCGGTAAAAAAAATTCATTTATTTGTCTTTATCGTGAAAATGATCTGACAAAAATGGCTCGGCTCTTTTACGTCGTAATGTCCGTCCATTCTTCTAAAAATATTTGTATCATTATTGGTACATAGCAGAATATGTTTCGTAGATCTCATTGGCTGTTTCGTCGATTTCACTGTAAATTAATTGGATTGCAACGATTTATTAAGATGATGCATCGTCGCAAGATCCGATATTTTTGCTTGTAACTTGTTTGCGTTGCGCAACAGATAACGTACAAGTACTGTACAAGCCACGTCGCGGATCATTGAACCGAAGAATGAATTAATAAACAAGGGGGTACACTCGTCTTCCCGGGAATTCAATTTCAATGCGTTTTTCTCGTTCCAATTAATGGAGAAAGAACGGCAAAAAACGGCATGAGCCGTGGACGTTACCTTTTTTCCCCCCTTTGTATTCTCATTATTACTTAATTATTTAATTACTTTCGAATTATTCCGTAGGTAGAGTTAAATGAAATAGAAAAATTGAAGTAAATTTAAGATAAATTTAAAACTGTTATTGCTCCGATGATTCTTTCGCCAGCAGGTCTCGGGTTGTTTAGGCATTTGTTCCGAATGATGCGACTAACATGCGGACAGGATGAAGTCACTGCTTTAATGCACTTAACATTAATGAGAAACTTGAGTGGGTCGAATTGACCTCCATTTGTTAATCCAACACCATCGACCGGGCCGCCGTATGTGCCTCTATGCTCCTTTTATTTCCGAGAATCGTTCAAGCGTTACCATACGGTAACTGACTAAATGAAGAGAATAATAAGACCAAGACAAATGAAGTCAATTTAATCGATAAAAATAATTTGAAGGTTGCCAGTAAACTATGAAGCTCTCGCTGCATTGCTAATTGCCCGAACCTAATCAATTCGTTCGGGTTTGGTTTGCCCGATTATCTAATAATCGTAGTGGAAACTTTAATTGAACCAATGAGTAAAAAAATAAATAAGAAAAAGAGAAGATAAAAAAATACGAACAGAATTGTTATAGATCGTATTATCTAATTGAAATTGTCTACAAATCGGAAATAGTGAGAAAGGCTTGTTGATAAAATCTCATTCACAGAGTATAGATTCTTTGCGGAAATTCATTTCCTTAGAATGGATGCATTGTTATCGAAATAAGTTAGACTCTTACAATAGTGTCAGACTTATCTGTATGTGATGGTGGCATGTGTACACGATCTAGGGAACGCCTACGAGGACCTGATGATTCACATGACATCCCAGAAAACAGACTTCATTCAAACGTTTTGTCTCTCTTCTGAAATCTTATCGTGTCTTTCAACACAAGGCATTTAACACGATAACACGTTTCCTTTGATGAGGATCGTGTATAGGATGCGCTGGCGTCGACAAAATTTTGATGAAAATTCGGTATTCAGACGATTGTTTTCCATTCTTCAGAAATCGGTGGAACAATTCATTTCGCAATATGTTGCTATTCTTAGAAACGTAGCAGTACTATTTTCTCAAACATCCTTGCACCGAATTTCAATGTACACTATCTTTTGTATGCTTTTCACATAAGATTAGATTTCGTTGTTGATTCTGTGTAATCGTTAAGAGTCGGTATGTAAAAATAGCATCTTCATAGTTCTCAAACGGCAGAGGACAAGCGGGAGGATATGAGTCAGCGTCTACGTAATTTAAATTAATATCACACCTAATGAAATTTGATGTGTCTCGAAGAAAAGAATTTTTCCCATTATCAATCTTCTAACGAGAGATTCTCAACTTCTTTCTTTTTTTCCTTGTAGAATGTGGTGGACGATTACCGGTACGTTTGGTAACATACTACCAATCGATTGGAGTAAATCGTATGCTAGAAAAATGCATATGCCCGCACTTAATTTGAACGAGGCACCTGTACCACATGAAAGGTAAATTTTAATTCCTGCAGCGTTTTAAGCATTTTCTTCGACCTTATGTTGCTGCTTTCCATTCTGCAAAAATACATAATTAAAAAATCGACGAAGAAATGTTTCTATCAATTTTCAAAATATACAAACCGCGATCTACGTTTGCAAATTAGACGCTTTCATTTTGTTTGCTATAGACCTGAACTAGAGGATTTAAGTAGCGAAGATGAGGCTGTCGCAACTGATTTGGACATGCATGCTTTGATATTATCCAGTAGCACCGATACTCACAGCCCAGAGGAACCGTTGAAGACTGCGGAAGAAGTGCTCCGTGAAATAGATGATATAATGCAGGTAAACATCAAATTTACTCAAGCAAAGAAATTTTTTACGTAAGAAGAGGAGCAAAAATATTCGTATTACGTAGGAAAGTCCATCGATGGAAAGATCTCCGGATTCCGATGGGTCTTTATTAGATAGCGACGAAGCGTTGGAGAGGAGCAGAGAAGTTTTAGGATCGCCGCTACACGAGAAAAGTATGTTTTCATACGCGAATATGAAATAATAAACAACATCAGAATGGGCTTCATAATCTTGAATCATGATCGTTTGTTCTAGAGCTGAAACAACTTACCTCCAGCCAACTCACCGAGCTACTCGGGGAAATGGAATCCTTGGTGGCAGCTCTGAGCGAAACTCTTATCGCAGAACTTGCATTGCGCGACGAGCTAGAATATGAAAAAGAATTGAAAAATCAATTTATCTCATTGTTATTAGCAGTACAAAATCGACGAAGACAGCATCATGTCACAAAAAAAAGAAATCAAATGCAAAATGGTACTAGTCCTTTACCACAACATAGATCGCTTCAAGAATCTAAGGTAATTCGTCTTGGAACAACAAGTTCACAGTTGTAAATTTGAAATATCTAATTTAAACAATATTGCTTACAGTATTTAACTACTGTAATCCCATACCATATGGACAGTGGCCCACCGGACAATCAAGCGTTACAAGTTCTTATTAAAAGTAAGTATTACCGATTCAACGAGCGAGCAATGTTGGATAATTATGCGAATGTATTAAACTCTGGTATTTTATCTTACAGTATTGAAAGCAATTAGCGAAGACAGTCCAACTGTACCTACATTATTAACAGATTATATACTCAAAGGTAAGTTGAGTAATTTTAGATGTTTTCAAATGGATGTGTAAATTTTAATTATTAAAAGAATTATTCTTATTTTCAGTATTGTGTCCTACTTAGTGAGCATACCATAAATTCCTTTATGGAAATCAATGAAAATCGGAAAGAAAGATATTAATTATTAAAGAATACAATTTGCTCTCTTCTTGCCAGTACGCTTTCAACCGCTGTTGTGCCGCATATTCTTGCGTTAAGGCAGGTGATTTCGCTTCTAAATTGTGTCTCGAACTACTCTGTATCGATTGTAGATTTATAGAGTCCGTGACACTCACATCTAGTCTTTACTTTATATATTACCACATGTATATTATTTTACATACGATACATTTTTAATAATCTATATATGCGCTCTATAAAATACCTCTTAATCGTGTACAACTTATAAAATCTTCATTTATGTATATGTCATCATGAATTTCGTGACAATTCAGTTTTTTGTAATTTTTTGTACATAAAGATCTTATTGAAATGTGTGAGCAAATTTTACTATATTACCGAAAATATTTATATTTATGTAGAAAAGTATACCTATTAACTTAGATTACAACATATGAAATTATGAACTTAGTGTATATTGTTGTAATGCCCATGTACCTAGAATTATCTAGTAACGTATCGCGCAAAAATAAAAACATCTTGTTGCTGTAGAACAACTTTACAAATGTATACTTAAAATCTGTTTAGTAATTATATGCAAAAGATGCTATTGAACACTTCGTGTACAGCAACACAGTTGTTTTGCACATATTAAAAATATTGTGTTTGTTGAGACAAAGAAATAAATTAAACAACCTTACTATTAAAAGATGTTATTTTTATCCATATGAATGAAAGATGATGAATGAAATATTTATATTAATATTTTATATATTTTTATAATTTATAATTCCGATTTTATGGTTATTAAAATTTGAATAAATCCAGAGCCATAATTTGATCACGTGACAAAAGCATGTTTCACTATTGTATATTTGTGATATTTAGAGTTGATTAATAACATGTAGCTCAGCATTAATAGTGCCTATTTTTCATTTTATTTTAACAGTAATTATTTTAACGATAATAATATAACATATGTAAGAACATGGTTGAATACTTAAATATCAAACAGTTCAGTAAAGTTATTCTGAATGTGTTCATAGGAAAATATTTTCTTAAATATTAATTTAATAATGATAACATTTAGGAAGGTATGTGTTCAACAAATATAATAAATCAGAATAATTATTTATATGCATTATTATTTAAAAAATTTACTAACCTAAAATAATCTAACCTAAAATTTATACAAAACAAAAATTAAAGACATAAGTTAATTCATAAATATTGTAGAATATCTATGAGATCATTTCTAATTTTCATTAATCTCTATTTTTCTTTCCATATTTTTCTATATTTACAATATAATATATAACTATTGTATTGAAAATAAATAATTTACTATTATTAAATTTCACTTAGAATTCTTTATTATAAATAAGAACAATTGAATTTGATTTTAATGTGGTTTTTATATATGCATAGTAATACAGTTATTAAATATTAGCAATCTGTAGGATTTATTATAGTAGTTTCAGTATGTATACTTAAACGTTAATGAAGAAATTTTTTTTCTATTTGATATATAGGTACCTTATGCTAAAATAACAGCAGGATTATCCGCTTTTATTGGTTGTGGAATTTTAACTACAGAAATTTACATGCATTATTATATGCAACAGAAAATTCGGGAAACAGTCACTTATAAAAAAGCATTGAGTATATTTTATAACCATGAGGATGCCATTAAATATTTAGGAAAACCAATAAAAGAGGGAAAAATAACACTTCCTGTGAATAAAACCAATAACATTAAAACATTTAATGTCAATGTAAAAGGAGCTAATACTAAAGGAAAATTACATTTGGAATATCAAGTTCATCCAGATCATCAAACTGAGATAAAAAAGGTAGAAATTAAATTTAATGATACTCCTGATAAAACACTTTTAATTCATGAAATTTAGTGGATATAATTATGAAATATATTGTTTTGTTCTGTTTTTCTCTTATATTTTTGTGGTATTGTTTAAAAATGTATAAAAGTTTGTTACTATATAAGCTTCAAAGGAGAGTTGACATGGTAACTTGATTACCTTTAATATATTATCAATAAAGATGATTATAATTTATCTAAATGTCTGTAATGGCATATCTGTAACACCCTCTGGAACTTTAAGACCTCTCCTCGTATAACCAAATCCAGCTTGAATAATGTGTATAGCGGCTTCAACAGTTAATTGAGTGTCACGTTGATTACCAATGTGTGGATTTACTTCTACAAGATCTACCGCATTTAGTCTTTTAGTTCTATATAGCATTTCCATTAAATGAACAGCTTCTCTGATTGATAATCCACCACGTACTAAAAAAAAATAAACTTTAAGAATGGAAATTATTTAAACAGAAGCAAATAATTTACCAGGAGTTCCTGTACATGGTGCTTCTAATGGGTCTAAGGAATCAATATCAAAACTAACATGTAATGATTTTGATTCATTGGGATCTATTCTATTTAGTGCCATGTAAACAACATCATGAATACCTAATTAAATAAATATTTTATTAAATATACAAAAGATGTAGTATTATCTATTGTTTATAAATATTTTGATTAGATAAAATACGAAATATTACCATATCTTTCAACATCTTCCATACCAAAAGCTGTAATACCAAATTTTTCAATAACTAATCTTTCATAAGAATCAACAGACCTTAATCCAATATAAGCTACATTTCTAATAGATAACCTGTAAATAATTATGATATATTTTAATATATTTTATAATATATAATTAATCTATAATTACGTATTACATTGGTTGTTGCCAATCCATTCCTGGTAAATGTGGCCAGTAATCAGCCAGTTCAGAAGTTAATAATGCTACTGGCATTCCATGAACATTTCCACTTTCACTAGTTTTATTTGTATTTAAATCAGCATGAGCATCAATCCATAGAACACCTACATTTTTTTTTTCCTTTAAAAGTATAATATAATATGTATAATGTAAAAAAAAAATATGTATATATAAAGTTGATAAAAGAACTTTTTTTTTTATATTGTACCTTAACATGACCATCTATAGTTCCAATTCCTACACTATGGTCTCCACCAATAGTCAATACTCTTCGATCCTCTTTTAAAATTTGTTGAATTTGTTCAGATAAACAATTTGTACAACCAGCAACATCACCCAAATGTGACATATTATTAATTCCATCTACATTTTTTGCTTTATATGAAATATCACCATAATCTTTCACATCTAAACCTTGTTTAATTCAAAGAATCAAAAATTAAATTTATAATCTGTAAAACTGTTTGAAATCACATAGTAATAATTACCTAATAATTCTAATTCTCGCACTAATCCAGCTGCTCTAATCGCCTTTGGACCATGTGCTACACCTTTTTTATGCTATATTTATTAATGGTATATTATTATTGTTTTATATATTTTGCATTATTGTTATATTGTATTTTGCATTATATACTATAATACCTGTCCTTTCTCAAATGGTACACCAATTATTCCAACTTTACCATAATTGCGATTTCCAAGTTTGGCAATAATACTTTGTATTTTTTTTAATGTATTCATTTTCTATGTGTCGTTTTAATTTAGAATTTAACGTGTTAAAGTTAAAACGTACTAAACTCTAAAACTTATTTATTGACCTATGCCCTCTATACTGTTGAAATACAGATAACATACAAGATTTACAGCACGTATTATAACATGACTATACAACACAAAAAATTAAAAAATATATTTAAAAAATAAAACTTTTGTTCATTAAATTAAACACTATTATAATGTTTTATATTTATTATCTGCAATATTTTTATAAATAATGTATCACATAAATTATTATTATTAAACGTGTAATTGATATGTAATAAAAATGTTTTTATTTTTTTAAAATAATACTTATAGTAAACAAACAATAGCTATTAGTACAAAATGTATGATTTTAACTTCTTTCAATTTAATTGAACTTATTTGGGGCCAATCATATTTTCTGGTCTCACCCATTCATCAAATTGTTCTGCAGTTATACCATTTTTCAGTGCTGATTCTTTTAATGTGAGATTTTCTGCATGAGCTTGCTTTGCAATTTTAGCAGCCTGAAAAAATATAATTTTACTTGACTTTGTTATACTTGAAGATAAGATTATAGATTATAATAAACCTGTTATACTTAACATGACATAACTAACCTTGTCATAACCAATATGTGGATTTAAGGCAGTAACAAGCATTAAACTTTCATTCAAAAGTTTACTAATACGATCTTTATTCGGTTTAATACCGACGACGCAGTTCTTCGTAAATGATGCACAAGCATCACCTAATAATCTTGCAGATCTTAATGTATTTGCAACTATCAGAGGTTTAAATACATTAAGCTCAAAATGGCCATTACTTGCACCGACAGTTACAGCAACATGATTACCCATAACTTGACAACAAACCATAGTCAATGATTCGCATTGTGTTGGATTAACTTTACCAGGCATGATGGAACTTCCCGGCTCATTTTCAGGAAGAGATAGTTCTCCTAAACCACAACGAGGTCCACTTCCCAAAAATCGAATATCATTAGCTATCTAAATAAAAATTTTATATATTAATTTTCTTAATTTGATATTTTCCAAATATTCTTTAAATGTACCTTCATAAGTGAAACTGCTACTGTATTAAATGCACCATGCACTTCTACCATAGTATCTTTAGTTGCTAAAGCTTCAAATTTATTAGGAGCAGTTACAAAAGGTAAGCCAGTAAGTTCTGCAATCTTTGCTGCTGCTTTCTCTGCAAAACCTTTTGGTGTATTTAATCCTGTTCCTACCGCAGTACCACCAAGTGCTATCTCGTATAATCTTGGAAGAGTATTTTTCACTCTTTTAATACCGTTGCATACTTGTGTTGCATAACCTGCATTGAAATTATTTCTTTTTTATAAAAACAGTTAACTTCATTGCAAATATATATATAAAACGTATTTTGATCGCAACCTGAAAATTCTTGTCCTAATGTTAAGGGGACAGCATCTTGAGTATGAGTTCTACCAATTTTTATTATATCTTTCCATGCTTTAGCCTTTTCATCTAATGCAGAATGCAATTTTTCCAAACCAGGAAGTAATACTCTGTTAATTTCTAAAGCAACTGCTATATGCATAGCAGTAGGAAATGTATCATTACTACTTTGAGATTTATTTACATGATCATTTGGATGAACAGGATTTTTTGACCCAAGTTTACCACCAAGTAATTCAATTGCACGATTTGAGATCACCTAAATAAAATTGATAAAATTAGATAAAATTGAAAAGTCCGTTGTAACAAACTGGTAAACTAGTAAAAAGTCCAATTCAATAATGCGTTAATAAATACCTCATTAGTGTTCATATTGCTTTGTGTACCAGAACCTGTTTGCCAAATTACCAATGGAAAATGATCATTATAAAGGTCTCCACATATAACATCATCTGCAGCTCTGCTAATAGCATCTGCTATTTTTACATCCATTCCATACTCTTTATTTACCAGAGCTGCAGCTTTCTTTAATATACCCATTGCAACAATAACGCCATACTAAAAAATATATATGAAATATAAACTAAGAATATTATATGTATTAAAATTGTTTTAAACAAAATTCAAGCATTAGACTTTCTTACAGGCATTCGTTCAAAACTATCACCTATTGGAAAATTTATCATTGATCGCATTGTTTGTGCTCCATAATATTTGTCAGCAGGGACCTTCAGCTCACCAAAAGTGTCCCTTTCAATTCGAAATTCACCATTTGACTCCTAAAATTGCAATATTAAAAGATTAAAATAATAACAATAATAATAATAAAACTTGTTTATAAAAATAATTTGTGCTTATATACCATATTGAAGCAATGAATTATATAACAGAACTGAATGAGTATAGCTTCAAAATAACTGTTACGATACTTTAAGCATAAGAAATTAAATCAAATAAAGTCAATTATAACACTATGTACATGTCAAATATGCACACATGTACTCAGATAAGATTTTATGTTTGTATAGTATCAGATTAAAAACAACGAACAAGAAAAAAAAATACATACATAATTATATAATATATGAATGAACACCTCCCACTAAATAAAGGATTTAATATGATAAAAAATTTGTTTCATACCATCTTTTAAATAAAATTTATCCGACGATTTTTACTTTTGTTGAACAAATATGTTTCTCATTTGACATGCGATTAATTCGATAAAATGTCAGATGCGTTCAATTGTTATGTTACAAATGACGTGACAGGCACGAAAATGCTATGCTAAAAAGAATTATTTGTAATATGACGGCATATTTTTTTATAATATTCTCTAAAAATATTTTTAAAAATATCTTTAGAACTAGTTCTTCAGTGATTATGTAAAAATAGCGCACGATCCGATTCGTATAAAAATTTTAAACGAAAACAGCAAAACAAAGAACAGACAGATTTGATTACGATTCCAGAAGTTGTCATTAAAAAATGTTACACCTTTAAGTCATACTTTATATGATACAGCTGTACCTTTTTACTGGCTTTAGATGTATATAATGACAGTCTTAGTGTTAAAAACGGCGATGATTTCTTTAATTCTAATAATCCATAATTTATAAATGAACATCTCAATAGGTTTAACGTCATTTTAATAATTTAACGTTTGCTTCCTTCAATACCCGTTTCAAAAGTTAAAAAAAATCGAAAAAGGCCCAGCATTGACTAAAGACAGCACGGAAAACAGCTGAACAACTTGAAAATTGAGCACAAAATATATTGTAGTTAGATCGAGGTGAAGATGTTGAGACGTCTTTCAGCTTATTGCAATTGTGATATTTGGTCAGCAATGTATGCACAAATAAATAAGACTGTGATTGGTTTGTATGGTTCGTTGAGTTTAATTAATTAAGTAATATCCTGTTGCATTGCAGAAACATTGTTTAAAGCTTATAAAGTGTCCTTCGAAAAAGCCGCTTTTGAAAGTATTTCGATAAGAACATGTACGAAAAGCAATTGAGGTTTACATGTTGGTAACCGAATTTTTGATTGGCGAGCTACTGCTCTGGTTTCCAAAAAACATGCACTCTCAAACGTGCCATATAAACATACCCATGGAATTTTTTTCTTTTTGAATCACTCTACTTTCAATTACAAATACGATGTCAACCAGTTAATAGTACGTGCGTTAATTATTAACAAGATTATGCAGTGTTTTTATCAATATCAATCTATTAACTTACGTCGCCATTGTATTTATGTTACGTGTGCCGCGGCGATACCACGTATAGTAGAAAGTAAAAACAACAAAATTATGGTGTGTTTTTGAAAAACGTTGTCTAAATGCTGGTTGATAACAAACCGATAAATTTGTGTAATACGGTTTTATCTTGCTAGCCGTGTGTCAATTAGAACTGGTAATATCGAGACGAGTTATCCAACAATTAAACTAAGCAGTCCGTTGTATTTTACGATAATCGACAATTTTTTTTTCAAGATTTACATCTCATGTAAGCAGCACGAGGATCTTACATGTCATTCCATTTAATGATCTTTATTATGTAATTTGTGGAAAAGGGAATGCTATGCACAAAAAATCGTGGCTAAAATTCGGTCGGAATAATATTGCAAGTGGTGTCTTTCAAAAATGACTGACTTTCCTTCCTCCTCTACTTTTACGAGGTAACTAAAAACGTGGTTTGTCAAGTGTACTACGCGCTTTTTACTTTCAATTTCTGATAATTCAAAATATCTTTCTGTGATTATGAACTATTTCATTATTATGTCTTTCAGCTTTTAATTTTGGTAAAAAAAAAAAAAAAAAATCTTAACCGAATGTAAAATATCTTTAACCTAAAATATGACGGGTGCCGGGCTTCTTGTTTCCCGAGTAATGCCTAAAATAATTTAAAATTATTGTGACGTTTTATACTCATTCTTAATTCTTAATTTCTTAATTTTTTAATTTTCCGTGATATATGTGTATAAACACATTATCGTATTGTCGACTATCAAGCATTAGATTAAATTGTGTAATTTTTTTTTTTTAATTAAAGTATCCGAAAATTTAAAGATTGTATTATGCTTTGAAGGAGTAATTTTTCAAATTGGATAATTTTATATTGTCCATTTGTTGGCAGTTTTATTTAAGATGTTGTTCAAATATGATTATTTGAAATCTTTAAAAGTTATTATAATCAGAAGCTAAATATTAAGTCTTAAAAACAGTGATAACATTATCTCTTTCTTTTGAAGTTGTATAATGAAATTTTACATTGATGTAACAAGTAACATTATGAATAAAGAATATTTTTAAATATTTGTTGCATGTGAATCAACTTTTATGTGAAGAAGTTAATAAAACAATCATTCTATTAATTTAGAGTCCAATGATACTATTTTGAATGATATAATATTGTTAAAAAATGCAAATAAATATTTTTTGAGTAATTAAGAATTATTTTTACAATTATGAATTTTATTTTGTTTATTTTGTTTAAATTTGCAGGGTAATCAATAATGTGTTAACTTTTGTAAAATGTATTGCTAGAACCAGTTTTGTGATACTCAATAATGTTTATTGTATACCAACATATGTAGTATGGATGACATTATTGTTCCCTGTAAAAGTTTATCAACCACAAGTATATTGGAGAATCGAAGGATTATTTTTTCATTGGCTATTAGCGATGGTGTCCATGTGGACTTGGTCTGCAGGTTATGATAGTGAGTATGCAAATAATTTATATATGTACATAATTAAGATAGTAATAATATAAATAATAAATAATTTTTAATTTATAGTAATAGAACAAGGTGATGATATAGAAAAAATTATTAGTGAAAGAACATTAGTAATAGCAAATCATCAAAGTACTGGCGATGTTCCTATACTAATGACAACATTTAATTCTAAACCAAATGTGTTACCTAATCTAATGTGGATTATGGATAGGATTTTCAAATTTACTAACTTTGGTATAGTTTCTATTTTGCACCAGGACTTTTTTATCGTATCTGTAAGTTTAAGTAAGAGTATATGTTTATTAATTTATTAATAGTACCTTATACTATTTATATTTTAACTGAGTTATTTTATTTTCGATATTTTATTAGGGTCGGAAACGAAGAGAAGAAAGTTTGAAACAATTAGAAAAACATTTAAAAGAAGCATATATTCCTTTAAACAGAAAGTGGATGGTTCTCTTTCCAGAAGGAGGTTTTTTATGTAAAAGACGAGAAACGTCACAAAAATATGCTAAAAAGAATAATTTACCAATTCTTGAAAATGTTACGTTACCACGGGTAGGAGCAATGCAAACTATATTTGATACAATTGGTCCATCACAAGAAAATAATACAACAGAACAACAATTAAACAGTAGACCAAGTAATTAGTTTTATATGAACTATAATTTCATTGATGTTTTACATTACAATAAATAACAATATGTATTATTAATATACATGTATAAATTTTTTTTAGATATGTTGGTTGCTAAACCAGAAATCAATTGGATTCTAGATATAACAATAGCATATCCTCAAGGTAAACCACTTGACTTACCAACAATTATAACTGGTTCACGACCACCATGTGAAACAGTTTTATTTTACCGAGTTTTCCCCAGTTCAGTGGTAAGTTTTAAAGAAGATTGGCAGTCATTTATATTTTGTGTGGGGATATTTTATTACATCATTGATTTTAGGTTCCACGAGAACCAGAATTATTATCTAAATGGTTATATGATAGGTGGGTCGAAAAAGAAGCACTTTTGGAAAATTTTTACAAGTATGGAACATTTCTTGGCACGCAAGCACCTGCCAATGAAGGTTCCAAGATCCATCAGGATCCATTGAGATTCCTAGTCCTTCATTTATTTTTTATAACATCTAGTTATATACATTATAATATGTTTGCATATGTGCTATCTTGCTTCTGGTAAAGCGTTTTATACTATACAAGAAATTACTTTCAAATATCAGTAAAATTACAATGTAGCAAAGTAAAACTATTCCTGCCTCAAATATTATTCTTGATGTTGACTAACAAAACTAACGAATGTATGGATTGTCAATTCCAAATGAATGTTTAAAATCCAATTATGTCGTAGATAGTAAATTACAAATATTTGTTTCGTTACCATACCGATTTATTCATCGTTATTTGTCTATTTTGTTGATACGAATATAATTTCAAGTATGCTTCATGTTGCAATAAGATATACAACTTGAAATACTTATTTGCTGCTATATTTACATTTTATAACAACAGTTCACTGTGTAGTATAAAACACTTGTTTAGAGATGAAAACACAGCATTAGTTGGTTTTTGAATAGCTAGTATTCAAGATAATTTCAGTTTATTTTATTAGGTGTGCTTAAATTTTTGAATATTTAGAGCTGTCTAATATTTTGCATGAATTATCATAATATTCTAAAGACTATTTAAGTTTTTTATTGTAAATTCATCATAAAATTAAACTTCAATATGCATATTACCTATAAAAAAAGTAATTTAATGTTTGTTAATTCAATTAGAGTATCTAATGCTATCAGTTGCATGATAGTTTTAAACATTGATATAAATATCTTTTTTTTTTATTTTTTCATTTATTATAAAGTGCAAAAATGTATCTATATTTGATTATCTGTCTGGAGGACTTGGCAACATTTCAAGCGAGTTTTAAAGTATCCTACTCGTGTGTTTTATATTATGGTATATTAAATATTATCTTGAAATGTGTAACAGTAAATTGTTACTGCTATTTAGAAGCAGTGAATACCATTTCAAAAAATATCCATTTATTTGTGATATATGATAGAAAAAAAGTATTTTTCAATGCGAAGTCAATCATATAAACATAATTTTTTTAAATTACATACTAGAAAATTTACATATAAGTTCATAATTCTATGAAAAAGTAGTTGTGAAATTTGAAGTAAATTGTTTCGAAACTTGGCAGAAATAAAAATATCTTTTCAAATCTGTCAAAATAAGTAAGGTGTGTACTTTATTGTTAAATTTTCAACCAATAATAACGCTGTTCAGTAAAAGAAGACGATATGTCAGCCGTGCCTTGTTCCTACGGACAAACCTCAGTGTTAATTGTACATACGCATATGCAAATCTCATGCATAATTTTCATAGTCAAATCAATGCCTACAAATAGTTCTTAAGATATTCATATAACATCACTTTACAAAAAAGAAACTCATAATTGCATGTATGTAGAAGTAATAGAGTTACTGAAGACAGATTTTCGATGCTGCCTAACTGATTATTGTAAAATAAACGTATAGTCGAAATCGAAATTTCTTGCCTTTTGGCTCAAAAAGGCAATTAGCTAATGTACACATGAAATAAATATTCATTGTTGTGAAATGAAAAGGTCAAAACATAATTGTGTAATAAATCCAATAAGATCAATATTAGTATCAAATGATAGACGTGGATATCAAGTTTCTGTAATGCACGGTCGTAATAAAACACAGAAATGTCGAATATATAAATTTACATGAAAGAATATTTTGTTATTAAATTATTTGCAATGTTTTCCTGCATTTAATTGCATTTAATATGAAACAGACAAATTCTTTCGAAATAAGCAAATCATATACCAGAAAGTATCAAGGCAGGAAGAAAATTATCAAATCAAAAAAATTTATATTTACAATTCAATGATTTCTTGTATCTCATTTATGACATAAATGCATTTTTGCTTGATACGATAATATGTTTTACTCAAGATAATTATTGTCTTATTCAAGAGAACACTTGATGAAATGTTTCTAGTCTTGGTTGTAAATTTTAGAAACAAAACGTGATTCTAAATGTCACCAATTGTAATACAAGGAATTATTAAATTTGAAAATTGCAGTACATTAAAATTATTAAATGAAAAATTATTTAATGAAAAAAAAAAGTTGACTATGTTACTAATCAAAAAAAGAAAAAGATTACAAAACATATTAAGATTTTACTAATATTTAATTGTGAGTAATGAAAAATTAAGCTCTTATTTATGTTTAAAAATGTAGAGAGTAAACGAAAAGAAATGTAACGTAATGCTAATAGTATAATGTGTTTACATCATTATAAGGGCCAATATTTTTTAAATATTTAGCTACATTAGATTTAAAATACAACATACAATCGTAATAATAAAAATTAAAATGTCACGTTTTGTTAATAACGCAGAATGGTGTGATTAAAAATAGTTGTATTTATTACAGTAAAATACATTACTGCATTAAGCATTTTGTTCATGTGCTGTGTACGAATTGCAAATCAAATTGTTGAAACCCACTACATTTTATATGACACACTTTTTAACAGACTATCAATATGAAAAAAGTAGAATAAAAATGAAAAACTGGTTGTGTTTGGTTGTGTTTTAATTTCTGCACTCTTAATGCTTTTATAAAAGCATTTCTATGAGAGACAATATTATTTATATGTATTATATTTAAAACAAAGCTTTATTACTGTTAAAGCATGTTTTTCAGATACTGAGTATTGCTTTATGTTCTTTTATAAGGATATACATACTGTTTAAGATTTGTAATGCTATAAACAAAATAACTATACTGAAGCTGAAGGCTTTATAATATATGCTGGTATTTGCAACGTTAGTGTACTATATCAAAGATATTTAGAAACTTTGATTTTATATTTGTACATTGCAAACGGCTTTTTTAAAAAGTATAAAAATATAACTAAAAAAGTGTTTAACTATTTTTTCAAAGGAAAGCCATTATAACAATGAATTTTTAATATCCGCGAAGAAAATACGTAATGCTCAAAAAAAAGAATTAGATGGTTTTTGTGCAATGCATGAAACAAATATATTACATTTCATATTTTTATCATAGAAATATTTACACAATTTGACATGTTTCTAACTGCATCTTAGGTATGACAAAACATTCATAAATACTATACAAAAATAAATGTAAAAAACGTAACTTTAGCGTAAGTTCAAGTTCATTTTTACAAGAAAATACTTCGCTTGTATTCTTTTCTTATAAAAACTTTAATAAAATTGTTTTTAATTACACAAATCCTTTCTTGTGTAATCTGTTATTCGTTACATATACCAGTTATTTATTTTTCATTTAACTGATCGATTTCTTGTGAATCGAATTAAAGCAGTATGAAACTTCTAAATTTCGTATCGTATGATGTAGTGACGACTTGGAGCTTTATTCGAATGAGTGAATCAGATTTCGTGTCTTAGATTAGATTCTGAAATAAACTGGTTCCTTATATTAATTACAGAAAAACCATGTTCAAACCGCAATAATAACGATTATACAATACATTATAAAACGGGACTATTTATTGTAAAACTATTGTACAAATTGTATTTATAAAGAATTTCGACAAATCAAAATAATTTAACTATACTTTACAATTGTGTTATTCATTTCTCTCCCATCCTCTCCAAAACGAAACTAACAAAGAAAAAAGTAAAAAACACGAAATAGAAAAATAGATAAAAACGTGCTAAATTCAAAGAAAACCTACTGACTAAAGAAGTTAGAAAAACTACAGAAGAGAAGAGCGATATAGCTTTTGAAAATTATAATTCCTGGTAAAATAGAATTTGAGGACAAAGCTTAGAATCTAATTAAGAAGAAACAATTGTACATAAATTAATGTTTTTGAGCATGCATCATGTGGACCACTTCTAGGATAGGTGCCGGAACTAATTTATATTGTTGTCCATATCGCACGCTGTTGCTCTCTTTGTTTACCGCGTGAATATGTCTGTCCTTATCGCACACTAACGCTCTCCTTGTCTAGCGCGCAACATATCTATCCTTGTCGCACAGTATTGTGGTCCTTGTCTACGAACAATCGGAGTGCTGCCATCTATCGGATTTTTCATTTTTCTGATTTTAGTTCCACTTCAAGTTGAGAAGTAATTAGATGGCAGCACCATCCACAGACAAGGAAAGCAATAGTGTGCGACAAGGACATCCTTCGATCTATTGAAAAAAAAACTCAACCTTTTACACATACGTTCTTCTAGGACAAAACATATATAGAAAGAAATCGGGGAGCCTAATTTTAAGGAGGCATATAGAAAAGTTCGCAAATTATTCTTCCTAATTAGGGTTTTCTCGTAATTTGTGCGAACTGTCACAAAATGGACATGGTGGCGCCATCTAGCGGTAACTCAGTGGTACTAATTAATTTTAAAAATATTTATTTTTTCATTTTACGGGTAAAATGGGATATGAAAAGAAAGCTAAGGGTCTAATTAGGGTAATACAATCACCAAAGTTCACAACTCATTTCGCTAAATCAGATTTTTTCGCAAATGAAAATTTCTCTGTTTTACGGGACAAGAAACACTAGCGCCGCGTTGTGGCAGACCGGTGGAACAAACGCTCTATAACCATATAAGGGGAATAATGAAGTTTAATTTTTCACGCTACTAATTTGCACTCCACGAGCACATATTTCAAAGATAATGCTATCATATATTACGTTCGCAAATAAATCTGAATTTAATATTCACTATAGTTTGCGAGAAATTATTCGCTGATTACTGGCACTACTACTAACATAAACGATATTGAAACATTCTTCATATACGTAAACTATACTTAAAAAAAACATAAAAGGCAAGCTTAGGGTCTCTAAAATCGAATACGCAACCATAACAGTTCACAAATGATTCCTCTTAATTAATTTCTTCTCGTAATTTGTGGAAAAACTGTCCCGTCACTATATTTAGGCGATGGAGGCGCCACCTATTGATAACCCGGTAGTACTAAAAGTAGGAAATTTTGTTTTTAGTATCACCGAGATATCAATAGATGGCGCCACCATGTCCATTTTGTGACAGTTCGCACAAATTACGAGAAAAACCTAATTAGGAAGAATAATTTGCGAACTTTTCTATATGCCTCCTTAAAATTAAGCTCCTCGATTTCTTTCTATGTATGTTTTGTCCTAGAAAAACGTGTGTGTAAAAGGTTGAGTTTTTTTTTCAATAGATCGAAGGATGTCTTTTTCGCACACTATTGCTTTCCTTGTCTGTGGATGGTGCTGCCATCTAATTACTTCTCAACTTGGAGTGGAACTAAAATCAGAAAAATGAAAAATCCGATAGATGGCAGCACTCCGATTGTTCGTAGACAAGGACCACAATACTGTGCGACAAGGATAAATTTATGTTGCGCGGTAGACAAGGAAGGCATTAGTATGCGATATAGAGAGAGCGATTAGTTCCACCGTTTCACCGCTACGTGGTGATAGTGTTTGGATGTCCATGATTTGATCAAATTTTCAAAAAATGTAATTAAAAAGAGTAATCTATGAATTTATAATTACGTTTTCTCAATTAGACCTTCATCTTTAGATTAAGTCCTTAATTAGACCTATAGAATAAATAAGCATTTACCAATGTTATTTGACAGATCAAAGCACTCAGAATGGTATTTAATTTCTGGCAAAATAATGGCATTATTATTTATACGCTACTACATTTGAATAAAATTGGACGTATTAAAATCGAAATTAAAAATACAATAAGCTTTGTGAGAATAGATTTCGGTTTTAATCATTATGTGAAATTGATAATGTCATGTATGATATGAAAATATTAAGAGCAGTGTTTCGAACGTGGAATACAGCAGAGTATTGTACGTTAAATCTATCGTACGTTAGTCAATGGCCTGCGTTTGGAATTAATAGTGTTTTCCCGTTGTAAATCACGTTTTTATCACGTTCATTTATCTAATTTCTTGTTTTTAAAACATGACAACTCTTAGGCCTTTTACGTGCAACGATTTATTCAAGTTCAATAATGTGTGAGTATCGAAGTATGCACTTAACAATTAGTGATCTTGTTTTTAACCTAAACGTACAATTATAAATAAAAACAATCACATAATGGCTTTTTTTAATAACATTACTTTTTGCAGAAATCTAGACCCACTCACGGAGACAGTATCCTTTAAATACCTTTTGTATAGTAACTACTATATTTAAATATATTAGCTACATAATTTTGGTATGTATTTTTCTTAATTTTGAACTTTGTAGTATGGACTTTCTTTTTATACACACTATTTGGCACACTGGCCAGAGTATTTTCAAGTAGCAGAATCGCCAAGTGGAGAAATTATGGGTTACAGTAAGTAATTATTGTGTTTAATTTTGCTTGTGCACTGCGAAAATAAATATAAAAATAAATCCCGTAGTTATGGGAAAGGCAGAAGGACAAGGGGAGAACTGGCATGGTCACATAACGGCTCTTACAGTTTCTCCTAATTACAGGAGATTAGGTTTGGCTGCAATGTTAATAGAATTTTTGGAGAGGGTTTCAGAAAAGTAAGTTTATTGAAGATAAGGTTTGATATCTATGTTCTAATATATTTTGTATTATTGTAGGAAACAAGCGTATTTTGTAGATCTCTTTGTAAGAGTTAGTAATAAGGTGGCTATCAAAATGTATCAGCAATTGGGATATATTGTATACAGGACTGTTTTAGAATATTACAATGGAAATCCAGATGAGGATGCTTTTGGTATGCAAATTATTATTATTTTTATAAAAATGTTTTAAAATATAAATTGAATTCTGTTCTTTTTCTTTCAGACATGAGAAAGGCACTTTCAAGAGATATAAAGAAAAAATCAGTGATACCACTAACTCATCCTGTGAGACCTGAAGAAATAGATTGAATTTACAGTATGTATATTACGGATTTAATGTAAAGCAAATGACAGGTTTTATGGCCAGCTTAAAAGATATTTAATTGTAATTATGAGACAATGTTTTTAATAAATAGACTCTTAAAATATAGATCCGAGCAGTTTATTTTTTCCCCTGTACAATAGTACAATGCTTACACCGCTCGTGCCTTTATGCGTCGTTTTTATGCGAATAAATAATAAATAGAAATGTAAGGTGGTAGGCTCAGTAGAATATTCCGTAGACAGCCAGATGATCGCAAGAAAATTTCTACCACAACTTTATAGCCTTTATCAGCTGCCTTCTTCTCATTCTATTATATTTAGAAACTTAAGTCTAAGGTGATATTTACAGATCAGTGACTTTTTTTTTACTGCATCATGATACAAAGGTGCTAAGCACCTAAATAGTAGCATTTCATTGCATATTATAAAAATTAAAGACAAAATGTCGTTCTTGCATATCTTTGTACTGCTCCCAGTAATCTGAGGTTCTATCGTTTTTTTTTTTTTTTATTTTATATAAATCTTCAATGCGCTAAACAAAGCCGTGCATAGAGTTACTTTGTCTATACTGCTCAGAGAGGCACAGTCACACTCAGCCTATCTCAGGAATTATCAAATTATAGAAGTCTTGTACATATTGCACGAAAGCCCTACTTTCAACTTTTATTTATTTCTGGATACTAAAGAGAAGGAAGACATTTGCTAGTTATGTAGGACACGTCAAGCGAGTACAAAACTTCTATACGTGATGGGATCATCTTTCAATTAGTACAAAAATGTTGCACATATGTTACCGCAGGAACGATACTAATTATTAAAGAAAACGCGTTCCCATTACATCTATTTGGTCGTGTCCTTATAAAATGAACCTATTTGCTTAAACATTAAATAAATATAAAATATGAGACTAGCTGTTATCAAAATAACATGATAATGTGTAAATTGCGTTTGTCACTTTCCGTACAAAGAATTTTTTCTCTTATGATTGAGCTTCATTCAATTCAACCAGACTTAAATTTAATAGTATCTGTATTTATTGTCACTAATCAATTGCATTTCTCAAATTCATTATAAAAAAAGTAACTAATGAATGTAATAAAAAATCATGTACAATAGCTTAGAGTTAAAACAGACTGTTATACGAATAATGCAATCATTAAAATTGAATTCCAAATTTACAGTGACAATAAATACAGTTATATTACATTTGAAATATCTTTATATTTCAAAAATTTGAATACTTATATCCATGTGTTTGTTTCTGTTCGTAACTGCAAATCAATTGCAGTTCATCGTACATTTAACGTATTGCGATCGATTTGGCAAGAAATAAGAATTTTGTCGACGTACTCTCACATTAAAGACAAAGGTATCGCTGCATCATTCACTAGACTTCTAAACATCCAGTAACTCCGATTAATTATATACACACGTGATACACCACTTCTGTTTCTTTATCTTATGCTAAACGTTTTGAATTTGGTATATAAATACGGTAGCAAAAAGTTTCAGCACGATGCTTTAGCTTTTTTTTTTCTTTTTCTTTTTTTTTTTTTTTTTTTTTTTTTTTTTTTTTTAATGAAACTATTCGATGTAATTTCAGACATACTAATTTATTTTAGGCAGTGTTGCAGATCGTTTTCAATTAATTTCAGTCACCCACGTTCAAATCGCGTGGACTACAGAGTTTTGCATGCCGTCAGGTATTTACACAAAAACGTTGTCTGTCAAGCATCATCTCTAATTTACACAAAACGCAACTAAAATCAACTACAGCGTACACGTTGCTGAGCGTCGTCCAGTGTATCATTTTACGCAGATTCTTATAATACAACCTGTAGTATAAAGTTAGTGCCTTGGCAGGATCAGACTTTCATGAACCAAATGCCGTATTCCCCTGCTTCTTTTTCCGAAATCGATTTACCAGTCTTTTTTTTAAGGTCTTTGGTGGTCTGGCGTCGACTTTAAAATGTCTGGTTGCGTTGGAAGACAGCCCGAACCTAATTTAATTTTCATGTATCCATCAGTAAAATGAGAAAAAGAACGAAATAGGAAGATACGTGTTTTTACAAACCAGTCGTGGGTCTTAAGGTCGATTTTATGGATCGGTGAGATCCATTACGGGTTAACGTATTCATTTGTGGGGTGCCAGGCAAAGTATGTCCCAAAGCGTTCATATAATCGGCAATCAACAATGTTATTTCCAGAATCTATACAGACGAGACAAATAGATAATCCTTAATGTTTTAAAAATCTCATTTCTTACGTTCAAAAATCTAGCTTGCTCGATGATATACCTTAGGTTTCGAAAGAGCAAACAGAAGTTTTTGTTCAGCTGCACCTTCATCAGGACAAGCGACCAGCATAAAATCGTCCAAACATCCTCCAAATGTAACTATGTTTGCATAATTATAACGACACATTACTGCCATCGTTTGTAGTTCCAGTAGAGTAACACTATCCTCGGAAACGGCTATCCATACGGTTATCGGTTCAGCTTGCTTCAACTGTACAAGAAGATATCTTTAAATAATTTTACTTCATATTTTCGTATCCGTAAAGAAAGTTTCGGTATCAACCTTTGCTTGATATAGTGTAGCTCCGAAGAAAGGCCATTTTCTAGTACAAGTTAGATATATGCGAACACAGTCTAATACACTACGACCTTTTAACGCGATCCATTTTTCTTGCAGTTTTTCTTGCAGTTCTCTACAATGAGAAATCCGCGATTTTAGATACAACTGATTTTAGATTCTTAATCCATATTCTTCGCAATTTAATTTACACTTGCCTCAATTGTTCGGAAGTGATGTTTGTCCGATATCGTATGGGATAAAATTTGTCCAAAGCTTGCAGCACCAGATGATGAGGATTGCTTCCTGGGCCGCTTCCTCGGGCTTTGTCGTTGTTATATTCTCCAAAATCAATCTGCAATATTTGATCATTAACAATCCCTCCATTAAAAAGACTGTACTATTATTTCTAAAGGACAACTTCACCTGTGCCATTAACGACGCAAGCTCAAATGCAAGTTCTCGATTTACTGGAAATTTGCCTTGTACGACTTGTTGATTAACTTGATAACACAGAAGAAGCCTTTCCCTGTCGGTTTCCATCTTAGTTGCTTGTCTCCAGTAACATCGCGATTTGTACGTTAACTGTATTACCCTGGTATTCTCGAATTTTCCTAAACCTTTTTCTCTCAATGCGGTTTCCCATTTGGAAATTATATCGCAAAGCTGAAACGAATGAAATCAACGTAATCGGAATATTTTTTTTAAATATTTCTACTGCGATTCACAAATCTCCTCGCGGTGCGTACTTTTGCTTGAAGATCGATGAAGTGTTCAAGATCCTTCTCGATGGGATCATCGCTGAATAACGTGAAACCTGATTGATGAACGTCTCGGCAACCAATCTCCTGGTTCAGAGTATTTAGAAACTCCTCTATCGTTGTGCTGCCGTCGAAGCTTACAACCTGATACGTGCCATTCAAGAAGTGAACCGGTATAGCGTGCGGCAGGGAATGATGATAGGGATTTTTCATTAATATCGATAGGACCTCCATTCTCGAGGGTTTCACTTCCCTTCCGCCGTTTTGCAATGTCCTTTCCAACGCTCTCTCGCAATAGGCTGCGTACTTGCCGCATTCCGTTCTAACGAAGAAATAAGAAATTCGAATCCAAATTTTACGTGACACGAATAAAAAGATAGGAGGAGGAGGGCTTACTTGGTGTCGGCGTTCCTTTGCAAGTGTAACTTCAGGTACCAGAGTAGCCGATTATTTCTTGGTAGGAATAGAGAAACAGCAAGGGCGAGCAGCTGCCATCCCTGGATAAGAACGTACTGGGCGGGATTAGTTTTGCAGTCCAATATCGTAGACGTCGAGTGGCCCTGCATGAGCGGAGGACTGTGAGAAGTGGAGGCCGTCGATTGTGCGTCCGCATTTTCACCGCTGCCATTTGCCGCGGGACTTTGCGTATCGCAGGTGAACAGCGATTGCGTGGCGCAGAGAAGGAGCTGCTGCAATGGTATGCTGGCATACTACTATATCCCTGAATCGAACCAGACCTAATCTACTGCTTTTTTTTTTCTCTTTGTTTCTTTTTTCTCTCTTTCTCGTTAAATAAATCGCGCTCCACTGTCCCTCGTGTTCATTATTTCATTCGTGGAATTTTATTTCATTAGGACAATCGAGGGTACAGTGTTCGAAAATCATTGGACTTCAGCAGCTCATCGCATATTTTAATATGCATTTGAAAAATTGTACGAGGAGTACAATGGGACAAACGTTCGAGTGTTCTCGGATCAGACAGAACACTCTATAGATTCACGTTACACGTCGTAATATAATGCCTGTTAGTAATGTAAAGCAATCGAAATCGGACTGATTAACGCATAACTCTATGTGTGTTAATCACATAAAACGCATGAACTGTAATAAGTCGAATGAATTAACAGAAATGTGGATGAGAGAAGCGCTTTCGTATTTTTTTTTTTTTTTTTTTTTTTTTTTTTTTTTTTTTTTTTTTAGGCCATGTGAGTCTACCTTACAGCTCGAAACCATTTTTCTCTCGTTCGTCTGCCACAAACGAATCGAATAAACGCTTTTTCTCTTTAATATTCCCCTTACAATTAGTATAACTGTACTCAACGGCGCATAGCTTTCGAAGCTCTCTCGAATGATTGAATTCTATGACGGACGTTCGAATCTGTAAGGAATTTCTAGCTGTTGCTGTTCTTTCATTTCTTTTTTTTTCTTCATCTTTTTCTTTTCTTTAAAAATCATTTTTCTTACATAATCGTTTTTATGACCAGATAATCAAAGACTAATTTTTCTAAGCAGCATTCAAAAAACAGAGAATATCTTGTAATGAGCTATCGAGCAAAAAAACGTACGGAAACAGAAACAAAAAATCAATCTAGTAAAAAGATGTTTTTCTGTGTGTGGTTTTTTATGTACACCAACATACCATTCTGCAAGTGTGTGTGCCGCAGAACGTATTTTGACAAGTCCGAAGATCATGGTATTTTATTAAATAAATTAGACGATCGATCGATAATGCATCGATGATGAAATATGATCGATGATTCGCAGAGAGTGAGAATCAACTGATTCTTCAGATGAGAGGAATGAATTGTCGAAATATGTTCGGCTCACATGATAGGGCATCAGGGTACAGGTGATCGGGTATCATGTAGAGAAATATCAAAAAGTACACAATAAAAATAAAATAAACTTAACATGACGATGTTCTATGACAAAAGAAAAAAAAAAAAAAAAGAGAGAAATAAGAATTGGAAAAAAAAAACACATGCGATTTTAGAGTAGCCTAGGAAGAGCACACGTAAAGCAGCAAATGAAAATGAAATGTGAATGAATGTTAAAACTAAAATCATTTTTTGTTAAATACTTCGTCAAGTATTATTATTAATGTTACGGTTATTATTATTATTATTATTATTATATATTGCTTTTGCAAATAAACGACAACTAGTTGTATTAATTATTAGTTAGTTACTTTATAAAAGAAAAAAAAAAGGGATGGAGATAACTAAACAGTTCACCGCTACTTTAACGAGATTACTTCGTATAATACTTGACTAAGCGTGTCCGATGTACCATTTCTTCTGATTATATGGAAGTGATATATGTTTGTCTCGATAGACCTCTTAAAGAGGTATCATGGGCTATAAACCTATTGGCTTGACGACAGAGTTTCGACCAATAGGTAAAATGTTTAATGCAAATCACGCGACAAATGTCGGCTGTAAAAATGGTACAGGGTTCAGAGTGTTTGTTAAACAATAAGCAGGACTTACAACGCGCGCAGTACCCAGCGACACAAGTCTGGCGGCCTTTTTTACCTGTACGCCCAAACGGTGTTGAGTGTGACGACTTGTCTGCTTTACCAATGCACATACGAATTCAGACTGTAATTCAGGCTGGTCTATGCATTGTTGTAACGCGTTTTGCGCTAATACCACATGGTAGTCTATGCCTGCTTGCTCCACTGCCACCGACATGAACAACTGACAAGCCTGTAGCGACAAACAGTATCGTTTCTTTAACCATTCTCTGTCATATATCATTTTTGTTGAATGATATTTTCAAACTGCATGTACTAACCTTGAAAAGCTTGATAGCCTCGGTTTGCAAGGCTTCGGATGTCAAGCTGGTCAGTGGGCTAGTGATGTTTTCTTTCGTGTGGAGCAACAGCGGATGTCTCCACAGGACACAACTAGGATCTCCGTCGGTTTCCATCAATCTTTGCACTAGCTGTTCGTACTGAGTTCCGGCACTAGGTCCGCCTCCGGATACCACCGTTAAGTGGTACAACCAATTGTCTTTATCTTGCTTGTGAGGCATTAGCAAGTATGTAGGACCTTGATGGGTAGGAAAAATACCGATTGTTCTTTCGTGAGGACATTCAGCGTCTCTCTCTTCGCTGTCGCTGTCGGACACGTGCTCGACCTCTTCTACTCTAGCGTCTCTCATATTTATCTGTCCAATAGGATTCTGCAAGAAGAATGAAACGGATTTAGGGTTTAGTAATTCACGTGATTTGTAAATTATCGAACAATTTACGTATTGAAAAAAAAATGAACGACTTACCGTATCATTAGGGCACTTAAAGTAAAGGAACATTTTTCCAATGAGGACGCACCAGCACTTCTTAGCGTGCCCGTTTTTCACCTTCGTCAACCACCCCTGTATCGTAGGTTTGTTATCTTCCTTACTGAGCAAAAGTTTCGTCGCGTTTCGCCTTTGTACGTTTTGCAAAACCCTTATCCAGTCTTCCATTGTTGCGATACAATCTGCAGTTAAGTAATACGTCTTCTTCCCTGTTGCTATCTCAAACGTGGCAGCACCTTCCGCCCTGTTTATCCTGTTTGGAATAGTAATTTTAACTTTAATTGTATTTCCTTTAAGATAGAAAATATAGTACGTCATTACGCAGTTACCTGCACACTTCGTCCAACACAATTTGGCCTTGAGGTTTTCGATTAACGTCGTTTTGACTTTTCCAATAGGTGAGCACTCCGTTTTTCAAAACGAACCACCTCTTTCTCCAGGTTTTCAATTTACCACCGAGTTTCGCAAGGTGGCCGGTCTTTTCCAAAGACTCTTGCCGCTTGGGACTTTCACCAGAAACCCGCATTAACAAACTAGGCATACTAGATTCGAAGGACGTGGAGCTCAGAGCATCGGGAGGTATCGCATAGTCCTCCGACAGACCAGATTCCAGAGAGGTATCTACAAACGGAGTAATCTCCAAGTTGTTGGACGCACGATCGTCGGGGTTCAAGAATAATCGTGAGTGACATTTGAAATGCTTACCACGTTTCACGCTTTTGCTAGGTGAGCCGCTAGAGCTTCTCTTCGCGGGACTGAGACTGCTGGTGGTTTTAACGCTCTTCGATGGACTACTTCCGCTACCGAGCGAAGAATCCGTGTTGTCCGAAGAGCTGTTGGTGATTCTCGTGTTAGTTTCCGTTTGATTGGGGTGCTCCTCGCCGTCCGAACTATCGTCGGAACTGTCACCAAACGGCATTGACCTAATCTGACTGGCTCGCCCTGGAAGATTGAAAGGATTATGGAAACTTGCTCTTAATATCATTTGAGTGGTAAACAACAGCGACTTACCCTTGACCGTTGCATAGACCGGAACTGAAATATCGCAATAGCCTTGGGAGTTGTGCGCAGTCAAGTTGTGTCCTGTCGCTTGGGAATGTTTCGACGAGCTGGTTGTGTTGGTCATCGTGGAGGGCGCGGATTCCTCGTTCGTCGGTGGACCGATGCCAAGCCCGCCATCCGCTACCTATGAAATTCGTAAACGCGTTTGTTTCCTTACTGACTGTAACAACTTCTTGGCGAGTAATGCACGCCATTCCTCACAAATATAAGACTCACGTTCGCTTTCTACTCGAAAAAAAAAATTACGTACACAAGCTCATACAAGTCTGTATATATATCTGTACCTGATATATCTTTGCCTCCCAACTGGGAAATCGGTGCAGAGGCGGAGTGGGTGGTCGAGGGCCTTGCGTACTTTGAGTCCAGTTCATTCCTTCTCTGCTCGGTGTATAGATCTCCGCGTAATCGTGAATAGCCTCCGAGCTGCCGCTGTCTCTGCTCGTCTCCGAGACACCGGGTATATTCGGCAACATGACCAAATTCTCCACCGCCGCGGCGAGCTCCTCCGATAGCAAGCTAGAGCGAAAAAAGAACGGCAAGCATAAAACACGGAACTAACTCAGGCTGGCAAACGCATTCGATTCGCTTCGTATATGACAACACGATCAGCGACAGCCCCGGTAGCGATGTGCTCGTGCCAGTAAGAACGAAGGAAATGAAAGAGTGAAAGTAAAGGGAAAGCTCGATACTCGATGGCAACAGAGAACAAACTATTACACGGGGTCGACAGATCCCCGCAGGAAGTCTCAGGACGTTACAGGGTACCACAGTTTTGAGAGTCGGGCGCCGCTATCACGTCGTGAGACCTCCCAAGGAGAATCGAGACATATTTACACGCGACGCTACGAAGGCTAACGAACGATAGATACGCCAAGCAAAAGCCAAAAGTAGCGATCATTGCGAAAGAATAAGCGAAATACGTGTACGTAGGCGCGAAGCGTTAGTCGACGAAGATCTCTCGCAAGATTCTACCTCGAGTCCATGTTGGTGGTCGTGATCCCTCGTTGTATAGTCCCACAGGCGGACAGGTGTCTTCGGTGCTTGGTACCAGCTTGCGGTTCCGCTACGGCGCTCTGCACGCTTTCCGGTACTGCTTGCGGCGTCCCCTCCAGGCTTTCCGATCGTCTGCGTAACGTGGGGTCCACTTCCAGAGATAAGGATGCTCTTGCAGGTGCCTGATGTCGAACATATTTTTTTTTTTTTTTTAATATTAACAGAAGGACATATCGTTTCAACGAGTATTTAAAGTATTTTAAAATCAAAAACCGCGGTGAAAATTTGAGGGAAACGAGAAAGAGATAACGAACTCACAGGTGGTTTCAGGCCGATATTGGTTATGTGATTTCTCAACAGTTCCAACTGTTGATTACACTTATTATTCTGTTCCCTTAGATGCTGATTCTGTTGCTCCAGTTCCCTCAACTTATTTGTCACCCATTCCTTGATTCTCGCGGCTTTCGCTTCGACCTGCCTCGCGTCCTGAAGCCGCAGCTGTCTCTGAAAGCGTTTGGTAATCGTTCGTAAATTGCCGGTTATCTCGTTCTTTGATATGGCTCGTCGTTTTATCATGACGTAACCGTGTTAGAGATTATCGGAGTACTGATTCTGCAAAATCGCTTGCGAAACTAGATCCCTTTATCGTGCAGAATTCTTGGAGATTCATCGGCAAGGTGACGTTACAGAGAACCCGATGAGTTTCGCACACGAATGATTGATTTTCATAGAGTAGAGTATTTTCGAAAATAAAAGTTATTACCTGTTCCTCGACCTGAGTTTCTAGCTTCGAAATGCAAGCACAGTGGACATCCTCGATCTTGTCATTCTGCGTACCGGAGGTCGACGGCAGCGAATGGGGTGGAGAACCAACACCGGATGTGCTCAAGCAGTATTCACCCTTCACTAACCGCTCCTCCATCATCCGTACCTGTAAAACGTCCAACGTATACTATATCTGTCCTACAAATGTGATTCTTAATTCTCAAGTTAATCTCTGTTTTTACTTCTTCAAATACTCTGCAGACAATGAGGATAATATACTTTATTTCTCTTCAGCCGGAAATGGATTTGATCGTACGTTTCATAACTGACAATAACATACCAAGATTTGTTACAAATTTACTACCACAATTCACGGTAACATTTACCAATCCTAATTTTGATATTACTGAAAATGACTCCTACGCGACTCATGGTCTAAAGGAAGCCACTCACTGATCGTTAATCCCCATAAAAACTTTCCCAGGACGAACCCTCACCGAACAGCCCACTTTCCAACCGATAGGGGAGGTAGAACTCTGTGAATTTCATCGGTTTGGAAAGCGTCACGCGAGCATGCCACGTTTCCGGCCTGATCGAAGAAGCATGGCAGTCGCAGACGCGTGGCGTGGGACCGTCGAGTAAACAGCGATGACAAAGCGCGCAGAGCGAGAAAGAATGAGGGAGGAAAATGGAGAAGGAGAGAGGGAGGAAAAGAGAGAGAGAGGAGAGGATTGGTTTCGCATTGCGTGTGGACCTCGTGCACCCCTTTTCTGGCATGATGGTGGTAATGGCTCGTTTCGCAGCAGCTGTCAAAAATCGATATCACGCAACACATACATACGTAAGCGCTGTACTCCGCGCGTCCACCAAAGCAGGAAAAGGGAGAGAGACAGAGAGCGATATCAAGAAAATCAATACGCCAGCGGAGAAATCCTCTGACCGAATGTTTTCCTCCTGATGGTACCGCGTGTGGCTGCATGTGCTCCGCGAGTCATATCGATCACCCTCCGCGTTTTCACGTTCACTGTCGTTCTTTTCCGAGAGTCAAGGGCCGCGGCGCAATGCTTCTCCTCTGTTCTGCCAATTTTGTTTCACTCTCTTCCTTCAAAGGAAAATATAGAAATCGAAAGAGTAGTTCCGGTTTCGCATTTTTCAATTCTTTTCGCAAGAACGACCGAGGCAGATTACACACGATGAGTGAACAAAACCGAGAACGCGACGAGCAAATGTTATCTTTTCAGATATCCAATCACTTTTTTACGCAGCGCGGCTAGTTCCCGTGTTTCACTGAAAATCACGTCTAACCACGTGCCGTATTCCTACTCTCTATCCTCCTCATACAATTTATTCAACGCGCGATACGACGACCGTGCATTCGATTCGCCGTTCTCGCAAAGAAAGAAATGAAATCTCACGGACGTTTAAGAGACGCAAGAAAACGTGATTCCTTACCTAAGCTACGAGTGGCCATGATAGCCGATCGTGAGGCTAATCAGAATCGACCAATGACCCCCTTTAAGTCCTTTGTTCCTCTCCTCGAGGGGCTCTTGCTCGATTCTCGAGGACACTCCCACACACACAGCGAACCGGGCCACGAGATTTCTCTTGCAGCTCGAACCGGGTCTCGAGGGGATGAATCGCGGGGTGACCGAAGGGTGCGTACGATGCCGATGATCGAACCGAACTGAACGAGACTAATGCACGTAAACTCTCCGGTCTTTCCTGCGGCCGATGAGTCACGTTGGCTCGTAGCCAATGGCAGAATTCGTAGAGGTCCTCGTGTGCATACACGCCACCCCTGAAGCGAGTACGTCCGTCTGACAGCCGACGACAGACGGCTCTTTCTTGGACCTTATCTCTCTCTTTCTCTCTCCCTCTCTCTTTCTTTACCGATTCGCGGCTTCCAACGTCACAGAGGACGTACGCGGAGAGAAAAAAAAAAAAAAACACCGACGAAATCGCGAACACGTTTACACACTGGCTACATCTTGAGATTTATCGATCTGTTCTACGCTTGCATCTCGCAGGCCTGCGCTCGTCGTCACCACGCGACACGTTCTACGATGAACGATCGTCCACGGGGTGTCTTCTAGCGATAGTGATTGGTCTACGGGGGGAAGGGGGGATGAGCTTTCCGATTGTCGACTTCTCGACAGAAATTGATTCGTCGACGACCGCGAGACTAACGATTTTCTGATGGGCAAAACAGTTGTAAGACTATTTTTTTCCCCAACGTCAAAGTAGACCGAATATTTAGAAATTATTTGAAAAGAATCGGAAATGGAAACTCCGCGCGAAGGGGATCTGTCTACGTCTATCGTCTCGACGGTGTACTTGGTGTTCGTTGCATTTCAAAAGAGGGAAGAGGGAGGAGAACTGTTTAATTCAGAGACAACGACCCGGGCACGGGTGAGTTCATCATTCGATCGAACGACTTCTGCAAACGCGTTTGAACTCTCTATCTAAAGATTTATCGATTCGTCTTGCGTGTTCCGTAGGCGCTGGGCTTGAAAGCGAAATGCTGCGAAACTAGAAATAGCTCCGCGCTGGAATAATCCAATCCCATCTGCTGATCTACAGAAACATCACGTCTGACGTCGTTCAACTGCCCGTTCAACACAAACAAGTCTCCCCTCCTTCTCTCGAATCTACAATCCGCGCTATCTTCCCTCGTGTCGGGCGAACGTTTTATGAAAATTACATTAATCCGATCCCATACGTCTGATAACGTAGATCCAAAGTATTACGAGCCATTCGAACAAAATGCTGCGCGTTGCCGCGTGTGCTCGAAAGCTTGCGGAGATTTTTCAATTGCAAAGGGCTACTTTGTTTTCGTTGTGCGAAACAAGGGGGGATGCACGAATCATCGGGGGGATACAAGAGAACCCTCGTTCCGTGGGACGGAGCCAGAGAGGCTGGGCTCCTCTATCTTTTCACGGTGGTTCGGCGCACGTGCGCGTACACGCGACAAAGCGGTATCACCTCACGGACGGACGCATCGTCGAATCGCGCTGGCTTCCCGCCAAAAGCAATCCGTTAACGTGCATGTACATGCAAAAACATTCATTCAGCCGCGATCGTCGGCGGGAACGAGCCACGGAGAAAAAAAGGGGACAGACGAGACCGCGATTGGCTAAATGGATCAACGACCGACGAACGCGTGAGAAACGCGTCGAAACGACTCGACGTTGTTCGCTGTATTTTCACGTTAACGAGGAATTGCACGACACCGAGAAGATTGGAACTTTGGTGCTGGTTTCTTCGTAGGGAAAGTGTGGAAGGAGTTGGGTGCACAAATGCAGGCCACTTAATCGACACACTGTAGATATTATAGGATTTCCTTCCACTTTTGACACATAAATTGAAAAATATATAAGGGCAACGACACTATAAATGTATCCACGATAATATTTCCCAGTTATTTATTCCTATTATTTTCAAGGAAGTCAGTATAGATGTGCCAAGTTTTATATTTTTCAAAATCTTTTTCAAGTTGTTGAACTTTCAAAAAAAAAAAAAATCCTCAAGACTGAAGACAAAACGTGTAACAAGATTTCAGTCAGATCCCTGTGACTCGGGTGAAGTATTACCTCAAGGATTAGGCGACCCGGATCGTTCGACGAGGAAAACTGCGACTTAAAGAAGCCTGTTCAGAGACAGGCTCGAAGGTTCGACCGTTCGAAAGGGGGACTCGGTCGTGGTGGAGCAGCAACATCGAAACGAGCCCGGCGCCACGGTTGCTTTGAAATATTTAAAGGAACTGTGCAAGCGGGGTGCAAGAACAACTGCGCGCGGTACCTTTATTTTGTTTGCTGCGCGGGTGCTCACGGGAAACGAGGATTACTCATGAATTGGCGTGCAGCCAATTCTATACGCGACACGTCCCGTCAAAGCGGGTCTCGTTAAGTCGACCCGCGTCCGCTAAGTTGCTCCTCGCCTCTTGTTCCTTACACCGCGACACTTCGTGTCGACGCGTTCGTCGATCTCGACGTTGGACTCGAGAGCTCGATCGAACGCACCGACACTTGGCGACCTTTCCTTCTTGGAAATCTACTTGTCACCTAGACACTGGCCTAGACTTGATTCTCGTCACGCCGATTAATAAAGCTACTTTCAGCGCCTCCCGATAAATCCTTTTTCTTGACAGAGGCAAAGGATGACAAACAAGATGATACTTGAACGATCCACTGCCGCTGTTGAAAAGAGCAGGCGAAAATAACAAGCTACGTCACGATTCATTCGCACCGAACAGGTCCAAGTAATTGCGAAGAACAGAATCGACGAAAGAAGAGTTGATGTCTATAAGACTTGGAGGAAGAAATTTGGAATTTCGATGACTGGTGTGTCAAGAGTTTACCTTTCACTGGTGTCACCTGCCGGGATCCATAATTCTCGTGAACGCGCTGGTTCGTCGACGCCGCTATTCCGGCCGATGTTCTCTCGGTCACGATTCGAGGGATACACGCAGGATCGAGGGCAAGAACGATTCGTGGAAGATCTATCGGCGATACCGACCGCGGATGCACGTGGCTCACGAACGTCCAACTTTTTGGCCGAATTTCGAGGTCATAACAAAACGACGGTCTCGCCGGCCGGTCGCACGGCCATATTGTCGCTCCTCTCTCTCTCTCTCTTTGCTCTCCTTGCCTCGTCTCATGCTCTCCTCGTTCGTCCATCAGCAGTTTCAGTTGGTCGTCTTTCTCCCGTCCTCGTGGTCCCCGTCTTTCTCGCCGGTCAAACGCAAAAATCAATGCGACGTAACATGCGCCCTGACAACCGGGTCCTTCGGTGTACCGACCGAACTTTCGCTCTCCAACCCTTTATACTTCGAGGGTAAACCAAACTCTTCGAGTCAACGTTAGTGCCGTTGCAAATTATACAATTATACTTCTGGAAGAATCTCGAAGACGAAGAAATTATAAGATCGATTTTTACGAATTTTCGTTTTTTAAGAGAAACTAGGACGAGATTATCGTCTATGTTTCACCAGAACAATTCTTCTTTCTTTGATGTAAAAGCAAAATTAATAAGCGTCGATCACAGAGAGAGAGAGAGAGAGAGAGAGAGAGCTAGTGGAATGAATCGATGAGCGGCTTCCTTGGTATCCTAAAGAGTCAATTTGTCGGAACTTATGGCGTATGCAAGGTCGTAAAGTTGCCAATTGCGATTGCCCGCCGTTGGTACAGAGCCAGGGCCGAATCGTTCGTGGAGAAATTGGGTACCCCGTCGGTAAAGACCGGGCGACAGGGTTGCAAGGTCGAGGAAGAAAATCGATGAGAGACTCGGTAGGGACGATAGTCTGCACGCCCTGGTTTCACGATAGGTGCACCCTCCAACAGTTGGTCTGTAGTCGGTAACGCAGTATCGATAACGTTTCTCACGTGGAATTTCAACGTTCGAATTGCTCGCTCGTTGTTTGATGAAAGTAAATGTGTAACTGGAAACCCCAACGGTGTTTCTACGACATTTATAATTACACGTTTAACGAATGATCATGTTTTCGGTGATAAAAGAGAATTGAGAAGGGAATTAAGTTTACCCACGCTGGTAGATGGAAGATTAGAGGTAGAAGACTCTTCCTGTTAGGGTGCGATTCTACTTTGCGTATATTCTACTTCGCAACTTATGCACGAACTTCTAATTAACCTGGTTCAGTGAATTTAACGTTTCACGGTCCAACTAGAAAACTTGAAATTTCCGGCAGAAACTCAGGGACAAGGTTCTAAAAAGGTCAGAGGGCGTAACGTAGTTGCAGCGCAACGGTTTTTCTTTTTTTTTATATCACTCCATCGATTGCACGAAAATAAATCTGTATAATTTCTTCATTTTGCTGAACGACCGAAGGGGAAAAAGAACCAGGTGTTCTAATTACAACTAAGACATCATTTTTTTTTTTTTTTTTTTAGGTAAATCGAGAACAGCTTATCATGTCGAAGCACGAACCACAACTGAATATACACCCGGTATGCAGAATGGCGGGTCATTAAAGCGAGCGGAAGGTCTTAGTAGGAACGTCGTTACCAGTCGCTAAATTAATTATTTATCTTCGGTGTCTTCGGGCCAGTTGGTCGAGCGTTAGCCAACGACACTGCCGTTCCGTTAATAGCACAGCCAGCGTAATCATTTACACCGAATCGATCGGACGTTCGTGAGTAACGGTGCCGCGGGACAAAACCGATTTACGGTCGTCGTTTCCATTTCTCTCAACCGAGCCCAAGGAAATCGGTGTTAATGAGCCGAGAATCGAAAGGACGATGTTCTCAGCGCGAGAAGCGCCAGAGGAGAAACAATAGCGATTGGAAAATTTATTCTTACCTTGTCCTCCGCCTCGTCGGCTCGGCCTTCCGCCTCTTGCACCCGTTGCTCGAGCTCCGAGAGCTGCGAAAAATAAAAAAAGAAAAGAAAAATTAGACGTGTTTTAATATTAAAAAAAAAAAAAAAAATGATAATAATAAAGTTCATTGGACATTGCTAAATCTTTTTACGCAGAAAATTGACTCAGATAGCGATGATTCAATTTGCAAGACATCAGCAAGACCACTCTCGGCCGCGTATTGTCCGCAAAGAATGAACGCTTGGTACCCGTCGACGTAGATATGTTGGGTGTCGAAAAGCGTGGATGCGTCATAATCTGCAGGTACGAGGTATCGGGAAGCAGTTCGCTGGTAAACCGAAAGGGAAGAGGCGCCGCGATATTTCGCGTCATCTAATTTTCCCTCCAGCGGGGAAAACTTCCATCAAACTTGCTCAAGTCCATAGCCCGACGCGTGGATGCCTGCCTGACGAGAGTTTAATGGATACCACGGACTTAAGCGGTGCCGCAAAACTTGCTTGATCCGTCAAAGATTGATACGCGCTGCTCCTCCACCGACACGAACATATTTCCGTCGTCGGTTACCATCTCGCACGGCTAACGTTTTCGTCCTGGGAATTGATTTCCCCGCGGAAGACACCGAGCACCGTACGTAATTTCCAAGCATCGTGCCTCTGAACGTCTGAATTTGCAGTTAACTTACGCGCATAAATACGCAAACATATTCTATATTATCGTTTCGCATTTTCAGATGGTACGTCGATTTTAAATTAAATTTAAAAATTTGTTCAATGGTACTTTCCAAAGAAAACTGGGCGAGTTATTTACGAAAATAATGGGTAACTCATTCGATATGCGGGACAGTGATTAAAGTCTCCTTGGAATTAGCAGGGTGGCCCGTTAAACGGGCATAGAATCAGACTGGCTCGTTGACTCTTTCCGTCGTTGCTGTCGGCTAAAAAGTATTCCGTGTGGTTGACCCCCGGGACAGTATGAATTGCTGTTAAAGCCGCGCCTCGACCCGTATATTAACCTCCATTTTAATTAATCACCGCGTGCCCAAGCATAGCGACGCCTCGCGTTGTTTCGCCGCGCGTGCACCAGGCGAAACTCGCCGGTTACATCGAGTCGAAAATTCCCCGACTCGCTCGGCCATTATCAGCTCCTCCTCCACCTCCTCTGTCCCTCGCGTAGCGCGATTTATTCAGCGCGGTGAAACTGTTTATACAATAAGGGCCCAGGCGCCGATCAAATAACCGGAGCATTTATCGCGTCGTCCCTCCTCTCGCCGTTAACGAGAGAACGATTCATCGTTGCTGGTAATTGACACGGTGAAATCGGCTGCAACCACCGTTGCAACAGCACGAACGCTAGAACGCGAATGCATACGTTTACCGTCGGTGATGTATGCATGTATGAACGTACGTGCGTACGGGCGCGAGGATGCACAAGTGTTAACGTAGAGTGGCCGATGTATCAACGGTTGATTGATAAACAATAGAATGCATTTCCACAGTGAAGCGGAGCAAGATTTTCGGTCTAAACGAAAGCGAGCCAGTGTGTGGCTTCGCGGTAAACAGCGACAAAAGAGACACGGTGGTAGAGTAAATGGAAGCCCTCCAATTATTTCGAGCAACTTTTCCGCCGATAAGCAACAACACTCGCGGCCCAATCACCATGATGAAAGGCAGCGGAGCGCTCGACGAAGCGGCTGGCGACGCAAACAACCACAAACACAGAGGGGCGGAGGGGGCGGCGAAGCGAGGGCAAAGGGCGTCGAACGAGCGCGCGAGACGTTCGATCCGCACCGCAGGGTTGGTCTGCGTGCACCAAGGGGGCCGCGTGCGTGAGAATTTCAGCCCTTCCTCATCCGGAGGAGGACGACGGCTCCACCGGAAAGAAGCTGAACAGGCAGCCTACGGGAGGATCTCATCAGGAGGGTGCAGTTAGTAGCATCTGGTGTTGAGAGGGAGCGAAAAAAAAGGGAGAAAAGCCAACACCGAGAGGAGGAGAAGAAGAAGAAGAAAAAGAGGCGAAGGAAAAAAGCACGGGAGGAAGAAAAAAAGAAATATCGAGGCGAAGACACGTAGAAACGTTTCTCGAAACGCGGGGAAGCCGCGGATTTCCTCTGGCGTTAAAGTCGCGCGGCTCGACTCGAGAAGAAAGGACGTCTGCGGCAGAGGGTGAGGACGGTACATTAGCCGCAAACGAGATACCCGGCGAATCTCTCAAACTGTCGTCAACGCTTAAGCTCTCCTTCTTTTCCCCCCCGTTGTATCTCTCCCTTTTCTCCTTTGGCTCGCTCCGTCCGCGATTCGGCAACGAGAACGGCAATAAGGGCTTATGAAAATCGTGGCTCCTCGTCGTCGGAACCGTCGTCGCCCGCGTGTTCTGCTTTCTCCTTCTGAGGAAAGAGAGAGGGTGAGGGATCCTCCTTCCGTTCGTGAATACAGCCGACACCGTGAATACAGCAAACCCGTTGTGAACGAAACTCGCTGTCGGGAGCGAGCGTCCTCGTGAATCTTTCAGCGAACGACGAGGTGACTCGCGGAAGATCAAACGGTTCGTTGGTTGACACGGACCGCTTCTACCGATGTTCCCTGGGTAGCTAACAGATTTCTCTCGAGTTTGAGAACGTTGAAGGAGAACGTTCCAGATTCCTCGCGGATTTCACTTTGACTAGCAACGAGTGAAAGTTTTTTTTTAAAGTTTGCAAAGCCGGGAAAAAGGCGTAACGACGACGAGAGAACCCAAGTACATACGTGCGCGCTATGTACGTGTAACTCGCGATGCAAGAGTCGATCGTTATCGAGCCGTCGCAGCCGGTACGAGGAAACGCATTCGTTATGGGAGAGCTCGTGCATACTTCAGGTCTCGTTGAAAGTGAACAGGTGACGCGAACACAGGGAGGTGGAAAGAGGGCCGGGGAATTAAGGCGGGAAAGAAAGAAGCCGGCTCGACGGCCAAATGAAAACGTCTGTGCCGGTGGTATTCGACGTCGAGTGCGCGGTGGTATCGCTGGAATTCAAATCAGATCGATCTCGAACAGTGGATACGTCGAGTGGAAAGAGACTGAGAGACCCTGAGGTTTCTCCGCCAACCGATCGTTCCCTCTGAACCTCGATTTAACAAGTCTATTCCCTCCTGTTCTTCCTTAATCTCTACACACCGATAAGCAAGATTCTTCTCGAATCATCTTTTCATCAAGTCCGTCTTTTTCCAATATTTGGAAAAGCTTCGCGATAGATCGTTCCGTTAACAGCCAGCGACATTTACGAATTACGGTTGGTGAGCTACCGATTCGTCACGAAACAATATCGTTTGTCTTCGTTCCAAAAGGACTGGTGATTAACCAGTCCAACGACAAAAGGTTGTAATCGTGACTGTGAATTTCACGAGTCCCCTGTTTTATTCCTTCCCGAGGGAGAGCACGCGAGGATGATGATTACGAGAAAGGCTGACGATGATTACCACGCGAAGGGTGCGATCGCTTACTGCGTAAAAATCCGAGCGACCGCCACGCGACGGGGAAAAGTGGGCCAAACACAGGAAGAAGAAGAAGGCCAACGGACGGCGGTCTTGAGTCTGAGCTTGGAGGGAAGAAAGGGCGAGCGAATGGAAGACGAAGGCGAGAGCAGCCGGCCGAAACGATAACTTTCACCCCCGGCGTGTTTCCTTGGAAGGGTGGAAAACGGGAAGAAAAGCACCGGGGGGGCCGGGATTGGTTTGTTAATGTTATCGGTGGGTCGCGTGATGCGAGACATAAAGCATCGTGCGCCTTCTTGAGTTTCGTCTCTCTTTGTGCCGTGGCAAATTTATGGCGGGCCGGTGGTGTCGCGTGAAACGAGAAAGAACGCACCGGACCACGGAAGGGAAATACACGAGACACGCCCGCCGCCACTGTGTTCGGTTAATTCCGTTTTTCCTTGGAGAAATCGTCACGCGAATCGGCTTCCTCCCTCTTCCACCGGCGATACGGCGAACCTCGATAACAATACGCACGATGGAGTCCGCGTTTCTTTCTCACCGCTTTGCACAATACAGACCAACAATACAGACCAATTTCCTCTCCTCTTTTTATCGGTCAAATTTTTCTACGCGATGTACAATCTTGTGGAATGTTATTAAACTATATATTAAATGTAATAAATCTATCATATACAGGGTGCCTCGTACGAAGCAATTTTTTCTTAAACAATTTGCTATGGAGAAAAATGTTTAAAATAAAACTTACGTTGTTTCAATCTAGTCTATGTGGTCGCGCTTCCGAGATTTCAAGATAACCTTTGTTTCTTTTAAATCGAAGCAACGTAAATTTTATCTGAAGAGAAATTTGCGTAGACAGTTTCATACGTATACATACATATTATATTATAGTATTACGTTACAATATTATATTATATATTACTGAATCTTTCTGTACTCGTTTTACACGTGCGCATTGTGAATTATATCCAACAGATTCCCCGAACGTTTCTCCTTCGGTTAAAATCGCGGACATCCCGAAGCGGCACGAAAAGCGGTTCACGAAGAAGGCAAGCTCGAGGAACGCGTTCATTTTTTATGAACTGGTCGGGGAGGGGGAGAGGCAACGTGCAGATCTTTACGGAAGCACATTAGCACTTCATGGGCTTCGCCGACCTCTCTCGGCGAGAGCTTTCCTTGCACCGAAATCCCACCGCCTACGGATCGCTCTCCCGTGCCTTGTATATTAATTATTTCGAGCGGAAAAGGGTACAACACGGTCGGCGCTCCCTCGAGAATGGAACGGCAAGAAAATTACATGGACATAGCCGACGACACCTCGCACCGTTGACCTAGATTCGTCACGTTCACTGTTGCCCGTTTCCACGTCGCTTCTATTAATTAATAGCAACCGATTTATGAACGCGAATGGCTAGCTCTCGTCATTCTCGAGAATGGACGAACCTTTGTTAATAAACAAACGATCGACGAAGAACCAGCAGCATCAACCACGCGATTTATTCTTTTACGAGAATATTGCGTTAGAGTTAACTGGAACGGAGATAGTTTTAAAACGAGAGACAAACGAGTGAAATGAAAC